TGGGCTCTAGTGAGGGAAGAGGAACTTGCCTTCAGTTCTATGAATGTCATCTATACAGAGTTGGAGATGGTTAGAGGAAGGGGACATGGAACTAGTTTGTTCTTTCACTCATGGATATAGAATGGGCAGATATTCTTGGATGTGAGTTTTTTTTAAATGATCATTGGCTAACAAAACAAGAGTTCTGTGCAATCTAAAAATGTCTTCTGTGGTCAGCGAAATCTGTTTTCTTGAACGAGGGCAAAATGTTTCGGGAGCAGGTGTTCAAAATGTCAATCGGTGAGACTTTGTTAATCTCCTAAAGGTGTGCAGGTCTGGATTAAACACATCTTTGAGAACATAAAAGACTAATTCCTGCCCTGAAGAGGCTTATGCATTCAGGTAAAGACTAAAGTTAACTTTATTTATTGGCATTAGGGATGAACCCAGGGTCTCGAGGATGCTGTCTGTACCACTAGGCTATATTCTTAGCCCCTGATAAAGTTAATATTACCACCTGTATAGATTATGGATTCTATTATAGGCTCTGCATTTGTTTTAGGTCAAATATGTAAATATCTGTTCAGCATTTCTATGTTTCTATCCAGATGACTCTTCATTAGAAGTACCACTTTTGCCCAATGTTATGCTTTCTGCTAAAAAGAGTGCATGCCAGTCTCCAGAGGATGAGAGATGGGCAGAAATACATAACACACACAGCAACAGTTGTGGGAGGCCCAGGCCACAAGTGGAACACACCAGAACTCATGGGTACTGCCTCCCCCAGCCAGTAATGGTAGTGTTAGCTAAAATGAGGGCAGGGCAAGGTGTGAAGGAAATGTCAGCTCATGTTTTTGAGGTACCTTTGAAACATGCAGGTGGACAGTGTCTAGTTTGACTTGGAAGAGTTTATGCAAAATAATGTTGGAGTATGAAGCTAACAAGGTTGGGTAGAAACACACAGTACTTAAGGTCCAAATGGTAACTTTAGGAAGTAGCAAGAAATGACAAAGTGTACAGTAGGGTAGACCACTGAATGCTAGCATGTTTGAGGGATATTGTGAATAAACTTGTCCTGCTGAGCCAGATGGGTTTAGAGCTAAGATCAGAACTGGCCTAATGCAGTTTGCAGACATGTTTTGTTTGGTTTTTGTGGGGCAGAATCACAAGGCGTACCAAATTGAAGTTAGGTGTCAACATTTCCACACAAAATCCAGATTTCTTTTTTAAAAAAACTATGAAAGGGGCTGGGAAGTAGAATCAGCAGCATTGGTAGTAACAATAGCTGAAGTGTATGTGTTTTCTCTCTGTACATATTTATGTTATTTGCCTGGGCCCTGTAGACATTTGAATTTTCTTCCTCAGCAGGTAATAAAGACAGTGATAGATTAACAACAGATTTAAAGAGGGCTTTGAATACCAAAATAAGAGTGTAAAATATAGGCAGTGGGCAACCTTTGAATAAAGGATTGATGAGATTAAAGACATATTTAAGAGGATTATTCTGGACCAGTGAGAAAACAGAAGTTAGACAGAACTGTTACCAGTTTTGAAAGGAAAGAAAGAAACAAGATGATGTGGGATATACAAATGAGTTTTAAGAATGTGACATGGATGTGAGCCAAATTAAAATCTCCTTTAAAAACATATGAAATAACAAAACCCCACAAAAATGGAAATGGCTTAATAAGGGAGAACCCAGAAAGCCTACCATTACCACATTGAACTGCATGCACCACTGAATTTGAAGGGAAACTTGCAGATTTCTAGAGCCCAAGCCAGTGTTTGGTATGAGGGACATTGAATGTTAGGTGTAGGGAAAATTCAAACAAAATATGCTTTTGGCTATCTGTAGCCTAGAAGTCTCTGTAAGCACTATTCTAAGTAGATTGCAAATGGAGGAAAAGAACCTATGTCCTCTCACCCCCACCTTCCGCATCTAGAGCGCCTGGTCCCTGAAAGGTCCTTTATAAAAGTCAGGAGGGGCTAAAATGAATGTCTGCTTATTAAGTGTATACCAGGCTGCCCTCCCCCTCCTTTTCCTGTCCCCTCCCTCTGTCCCTCTCCCTCTCCCTCTCTTTTTTAGTAGTGCTGAGGATCTGTCCTAAGGCCTCATGTCTGCTAGGAAGTGCTGTACCACCCCAACTCCCTACATGTTTTAGTTTACTTAATCCTTACAACCACCCTTGCTAGGTACTATCGCTATTTTCATCTTTTACACAAGGAAACAGGTTTAAGAACTTACCCAACATTATAGGACTGATAAGGAATGGAAGCAGGACTTGAACCCAAGCAGGTATGTGGTTCATTCAAAGATCTGTTCTCTTCCTTTGGTGAATGGCTCAGTATTACCTTGTAACATGTATGCTGGTAACCCTTTACTAAAAAAAAAAAAAATCTCACAAAAATTCATTTCTTATTATGCAAGCTGAATCATGTTAGATTTTCTTCACATGTTCTCATGAAAAATTCACATACAAATATTTTAATTTGGGAGGGGGCCAACACTGTAGAGAAACAAACATTTGATGCAAAGCCTCAAAATTTGGCAAGTTTCCTACCATAATTAATGTGATTTCTTTTCTGTTTGTTTGTTTTGTTTTTGTTTTTTTGTTTTTTGAGACAGGGTCTCACTCTGTGGTTGAGACTGATCTGGAACTCACCATGTAGCCCAGGCTGGTCTTGAACTCATAGCGATCCTCCTGCCTCAGCCTCCCGAGTAGTGATTTCTTTATTTGGTCTACAGATGAAGCATGTGAATGAAACATTTCAAGAAGAAAAAAATAAAGAGGTGGTTCTTATGAGCATTGGTATCACTTCAGGAGTCGGACGGCTTCTCTTCGGCCGGATTGCAGATTATATATG